ATATTATTGAAATCATGCCATTGATGAGTGCTAAATGAGAGAGATACTCATGATTCTTTCTTTTGTTTTTGTTTGTCCCTAGCTTCTGGACATCTGATGATCTATTGGACACAGACATTTGCAGAACAAGAACCAGCCAACGAAAACGTCTATTGCTGATGCTTTTGCTACAACCAGAACCACAACTGTGACCAAATATTCAAGTATTCAGACATTTGACAGACAAAAACTTTGATTTTTTAGTCTGGGAGACTGAGCAACTGTTAAAACTTTTAAAATGATAAAGTATGGGTATTGTAGCGTTTTAGTAGATGTTAAATAGTAGTAAAAGAGTAGAATTTGACTTCCTTCGTTGTTCATAAACATATTTCCACGTAAGAGTTAAAATAGTACCCTACAATGTTATCCTTTTGATAGATCAGCTATAATATTAGAATCAGAGTTATGTTACAGCCATTAAAAGTGACAGAAGTCACAAACTAGGAATATGCCTTTGCTCAAGCTGCAACCGAGCTTTGGAGTCAAAAAATAGAGTAAAAATAGGAATAGATAAAAGCACCAACCATAGATTCTTTCAAAAATAGAGATTATTTGTAGCCAGTGCTAATGTAACACAAGTTGCATTGAGCGAGTATCACCCTGTGTTAGAAAGGTCGTGGGTGTATGAAGAATCACACAGAGAGGGACAGCTCCTCAGGAACGTAGCTTTATTCAGTCTCTAGCTCCTCAACACAGGGAACCCCCCTCAAAACCCGAGGTTACCTTTTTCTAGCGCCCGTGACCTCATCACCGTCATATCAATGCGCACTCAAAATAGGTCCTAGCCAGGTAATAACACAGGCATAACACCAAACAAAACAATATAAATCCCCTTACATTCTTCCCCTTCTTCAAATAAAATGTCCTCATTTAAACATTAACCTGTTGGAGAAACAAAACATATAAATCCTGACAAACTTTCTCCACTGTTATTATTATTATTACTTTTTTTTTTTTTTATAAGAGAAGGCGAGTTGGTCTCTTCACAATGCGACCACATCTAGTAGCAACGTCACCACTAGAGGCACCCAATGTCCTGTTTTGTTGTTGCCGTGCAGGCCCATGAAAGACCCGACCAGTCAGTCTCCTAGAGGATGGCACAGACGGCCTAGTTCCTGCACCCTGGTTTTCAACGGGTTGTCCAAACGCAACAGGAAGTGACCCAGATAAAGCTGTGTACCCTGGGGCTGTGTGCATGCAAGGCCCCGGTGGTGTCACACCCGGAAAAATGTCCTTAGAACGAAAAGGTTTTAAACGATCATAATGAATGACTTTTGGTACAGCTTGAGGATGTTTCATGTCCAACAGCTTATAGATTAGTCCATCATCATTCACAGCTTCAACCTTAAATGGTCCAGTCCAGTTTGGGCAAAGTTTTTGTCTTTGTGTAGTGGGATCATCCAACCAAACCAGATCACCACATACATATGGTTCAAACTTAACCTGTTTGTCATAATAGTGCTCACGTTTTAGTTGTTGTTCCTCACGGTGTATGCGAACTGCCTCAAAAGCATATTCCAAACGTGAGACCAGTTCTGCCCCATAGTTCTGTGGGCTTTCAGGATCTGTGGGTGACGCCACATGAACATGTGCAGGTAACCTGGGCTCCCTGCCATGTGCTAGAAAATAAGGCGAATATCCGGTACTCGTGTGAGGTGTAGAGTTGAAAGAAAGAACCATAGATGGCAGATAGTAGTCCCATTCACCTACATTGTCCTGAATAAGTTTAGCCAGTTGTCCTTTTAAAGTTCTGTTGAACCGCTCTACCATACCATTACCTCTTGGGTGATATGGAGAAGTCCTTTTCTTTTTAATGTTTAAGTTCCGACATATTGTTTGAATGATTTCTGATTCATATTGTCTACCCTGATCAGAAAACAATTCCTCAGGGACACCATGTTCAGGAATATACCTCTCACAAAATAATTGTGCTACTGTAGCTGCCTTTTGATCACACATAGCATAAGCATTCACATATTTGGTGAAATGATCTTGGACCACAAGGACATATCTATTTCCAGCAGAAGTTACAGGGAGCTCTGTAATGTCCGTGCAAACAAACTGAAAGGGTCTGTCAGCCTGAATAGATTGCAATGGTGCTCTGCGCTGTGGCACAGGCTTTCTGAAGGCCTCACATGACTTACACCGGTTACAAAAGTCCTCAATATCAGATCTCATACCTGGCCAATAACACATTGTCATCGCTTTCTTAAATGTGCGCTCAGCACTGTAATGACCAGAACATGGGTTACCATGTAGAAAATGCATTGTCTCAGAAATAATTAAAGATGGTATCACCACTTGATAAACCTCGGGTTTCCCTGGCACCATGTGACCTTTACGGCATAGTAAATTATCACACAAAACAAGCTTGGGAAACTGCCACCAAAGTTTCCTCTGAGTCTTATCTTTAACCTGCCTAAGAAAAGGACGTTTCCCAGACTGTACCCAGTTATACACATCTGAAATAATAGGGTCAGAAAGTTGTGCAGATACAATATCAGCATTATTCATACCGAAAGTAAGTGGTGGCATGTTAATACCAGTAGAGACCTGTCCAGCAACACTGTCCACAAAACATACTTGCGATGTTTGATTAGTCTTGAGTGATTCTAGAGCTGAATTAAGCAACTCTGTCCTTGTTTTTTCTGTAGTAGGAGTGTGAATGTCAGCAGAGGGAGACACAATCACCTCCATTGTATCAGGAATCACCGATGGTATACGTGACATTGCATCTGCATTCGTGTGCTTCTTTCCATCCTTGTGAGTGATTGTCCAAAGGTAGGGATCCAACTCCAATGCCCACCGACCCCGGCGTCCAGTAGGGTCGTGCGTGATGTCCATCTTTCTTAAACTGAGCAGAGGGCGGTGGTCAGTAATAATGGTAAAAGGATTACAACTCAGGTAGTGTCTAAAGTGTCTGACCGACCAAACAATAGCATAGAGTTCTTTGTCGTATGTAGACCACTTTCTCTCAGTCTTTGAAAGCACGTGACTCGCATAAGCCACAACGCGTTCTTGTCCATTTTGTCTTTGTGAAAGCACCGAACCAACCGCAGAATTGGATGCATCTGTGCTTAAAATAAATGGCTGATCAAAGTTGGGAAAAGCCATTATTGGAGGAGACATAAGCGCCTCCTTTAATGTCTGAAAAGCACCCGAGCAGTCCTCAGTCCACTCAAACACTACCTGTTTTTCTGTCAGTTTATGAAGTGGTTGTGCAATAAATGCGTATCTGTGCACAAAACGTCTGTAGTAGGAACAGAGTCCCAAAAATGCACGGACCTCAGTAGGTGAGCATGGTGTCGGCCAGTTACTGATGCGTTCACTGTTAACAGGATCCAGAGTCAATCCCTCACGAGATACAACATGTCCCATGTACTTAACTGTCGTTTTGCAAAAGTCACATTTCTTAGGGTTTAACTTCAAACCTGCTTGTCTAAATCGAGTGAGAATGTCTGTGAGGTTGTGTAGGTGATCCTCAAAGGTTTTACCCATACATATGATGTCATCTAAATAAATGACACAGGTTGTCCAATGCAGTCCTCTCAAAACCAACTCCATTAGCCTCTGAAATGTTGGTGGTGCGTTTTTGAGGCCCATAGGCATGACCTTAAATTGATAAAGGCCATCTCCGGTTGTGAATGCTGTCTTACGTCGATCTGCGGGATGCATTTGCACTTGCCAGTACCCGCTGGACATATCCATTGTCGAAAAGAATTGAGAGCCTGACAGTGCATCGAGACTGTCATCTACCCTCGGTAACGGATGTGCGTCAGTTATGGTAACAGCATTCAACTTTCTAAAGTCTACGCAAAACCTATATGAGCCATCCTTCTTTCTCACCATAACTACAGGACTGGCCCAGGGACTTGTACTGTCTTCAATCAAGTCCTGTGCTTTAAGAGCTTCAACTTGACGATGAATCTCCGATTTAATAGCAGGAGATGTACGATAGGCCCTTTGTCAGATTGGCATGTCACAGTTTGTGACTATTTTATGAGTGAGTAAATCAGTCCTGCCAAAATCATGTGAATGCTGACTAAAAACATCTGCAAATGACGTTAGTGTCTCATTGAGTTGATGGTTCTGGATTACCGTTAGGTCTGAGTTTTTAATGACTGGCTTGGTGACATGCTTGGGAACGTTTGGTACCTGAACATTAATATTAGATACAGAACTGTCCATAATACTGAAGTCACTTTTTCTGCCTTCTGAAACTGCATGAAAAAGTCCAATCTGAGTGCCTCCGTACAACTTAATCTCACTATGTGCTAAATTAGCCACTTTAACACAAATGGAGCCAAGTTCTACTCTGGCTACAGTCCATGCAAACCCTGCAGTAGTCTCAACCGAATAATGAGGTTCAAACACACCTGTATAGCCATTAGGTCGAAGTCCTTTGAGGGGTGCATCCAAAGTAGCAGAGATGACCCTTTCTGACATTGCCGGGATAGTCACTGTGGAGGAAACTGACACACTAGTTAGAAAAGGAGCATATTGCTGTGGACTAACTAGTGGTACAGTTTTGTCTTCAACATCTAGTGTCATCTTTCGGGTGTCCACGACAATTCCATTGGCGATCATGAAATCCCAACCCAAGATGATTGGTTTTGTGCAGTTTCGAACCACTTGAAAAGTGTGTGTCATAGGTTTATGGGCAAGGTCTACATTAACAGAGATGGAACCTACAGAGTCAAGTGGTTCCCCCGCGACCCCTTTGAGGGGAACAAACTCCTTCACAATGGGTTTCCTTTGAAGAGCAGGTGTCTTCATTCTAAAGTCCTCGCTAATGACCGAAACATCAGCCCCAGTATCAACAAAAGCATGTACAATTGTGTCTTCGATAACAACTGAAACATACCTCTTCTCAATGTCTGTCACAAATGTAATGTCATTTGTTTTATTGTCAGTCTGGACCAGGATGGGCTCTGTAGCTGACAATTGGTCCTCATTGTCAACTACTTGTAGTTTACCTGGTTCTGCTTTTGACATGATGGGGACTCGAAGCGTACTCTTCCTGGGCTGGGAGAGCGATATCGGCGACTCTCATAGCGATCCGGAGAGCGGCCGCGGTTGTTGTTGCCTCTCTCTGAAGAATGGCTCTGACGTGGAAGCCGGTCCGACGAACCAAGACGACGGTAGTTCTCCCCCTCACGACGAGATGAATGACGGCTGTCAAGGTCGTAGTCTTGACGTCGCGGCGAAGATCTGTAGGATCTGCTGGAGTAGTCACGGCGGTCCTCACGAGGTCCCTCAGGAGTGTAACTCCTATAACGATGTGTGTAGTTGTTTTTGTCTCTGTGTTGACGGTCCACTGCCAACTGTAGGTGCTCAACTTTCTCTGATAACGTTTCAATAGTTTTTAACATCTTCTTCATATCATCTGCATTGGCCGAGTTTATACCTAGCTGTGCACCAGTTGCCGGAAAATGACTGGATGACACGGGTGAAATAGCAGGATAAACCATGTCAGTGGAAAATGATTGCATAGTACCAGGCGCTAACATTTTACTAGCTTGGTGTGCAGATTCAATCTGAGCGGCATATTTAAGGGCATCTTCAAGTGTATCAACCCCTTGTTCGTGACATCTGAGCTGTAGATACGGGTCAAGTCCAGCAATAAAGCGCCTTAGTTTCTCACCTTTCTTTGCATTGTCACCATATGTGGGAAAAGCTTCCTCCACCAGGCGACTGATTTCAGCAGCAAAAACAGGTAAAGCCTCACCCGGGTGACGAGCGCGTGCATTAATGTAGCTTTGAAATGTTGATAGATATGCAGCCTGTCCAAAAACGCTTTTCAGTTTCTCTTTTGTGGCATCAAAGTCTGACTTTACAGCATCAGGTAAACTGTCCCAATAGCTAAAAGCAGCACCCCCCAAGCATGTAGGAAGGAGTTTCGCCAAACTGTCTTCCTCAACATCAGGATTAGCATTTACTGTGACTTCAAAACGACGGCACCATCTTGAAAAATCTTCTTTTCCATCCCCCATGAAAAATTGGCGGTACGGTGGAATGGCGCGGTTAGAGGCAGCAGAAAAAGGCAGATCGTTCCAGAAGTTATTTGCCATCGTTGCATCACAGCACACTCCTCCGCCTCAAATGTACAACAGGCAAAGTCTCTACTCATAAAAAAAAAAATGTGTCCAAATATTTGTAAAAACAATAATAAAAATGTTCGCGTATTCCGATTATACACCCGTTGTTATCTGTGAATTACACACTGCCCCTAGCAGCTAGCTGGTTAGCTTATGCACCGTGCCTTATCTACGACACAAAATGCAACACCAACAAAAATCCACAGGGCCTATGCAAACGTAATCCACCTCAGAAGTCTCGAACTCACTCGTAATAGTCAGTCCGTTATTCCTCGTAGCGTTGTGGGGAAAAGTCCAACGTTTCTGCCGTTAGCTTAGCCCGTGGTGCAACGTGTCCCAGAGCGACGATTCAACCTCTTCAGATGCGAAAAAAAAAATTATGTCCACAACCCGCTGCCACCAGTGTAACACAAGTTGCATTGAGCGAGTATCACCCTGTGTTAGAAAGGTCGTGGGTGTATGAAGAATCACACAGAGAGGGACAGCTCCTCAGGAACGTAGCTTTATTCAGTCTCTAGCTCCTCAACACAGGGAACCCCCCTCAAAACCCGAGGTTACCTTTTTCTAGCGCCCGTGACCTCATCACCGTCATATCAATGCGCACTCAAAATAGGTCCTAGCCAGGTAATAACACAGGCATAACACCAAACAAAACAATATAAATCCCCTTACACTAATATCAAATGGTAAAGGGACCATTTCACAAACATTTACTTCAAAAGTAGATAAAGTTAATTACAGTTTATGTACAGTTTTATTAGATACTTGCCAAATTCACTTGTTTTCAAACATTGGTGAATGTTGACAATACAAAAAGTCCATATGAGTGTAGTGTAGATTAATGCCTAGATCAATGAGATAGATTAGAACCAACAGAGATTCAAAAGCATTTAAAAGCATTTTGATGTATTTGTGTATAGCACAAAAACAGTATAGCAGATATTTAGATATTGAGAAGTTTAAAAAGCTGTAGATTCACCAGCACAGATTAGAATCAAACACCATTGTAAAATAACTGACCCCAACCCCAAACCTGCTAAAATAGATTAGCTCTTGTAAGGATAATACTAATTTGATTAATGATTTACATTCATCCCAAACTGCCTCAGAGGAGGAAGTGACAGCACTTCCTGGTTCAACAAATGTATTTGGAAAACTGGCCATAATAATGTTCATATTAACCATTTGCCTGAAGGGCTCGACACACGGGAGGCGACATCGCATCGCCTCCATTCATTTTCAATGGGACGTGCGCGACATAGCGTCAATCGCTAGCGAGCCTCCTGCTCAGCGACGGGCGAAAAACGTGCGTGTGAAATCCTCCCGCTCGTGCATGTATCGTGCACGCGCGGGTCAGCGACGCAATCCCAGAAAGTTGAAATCGGCTCAACTTTTCGACGCTGTCGTCAAGCCGCATCGCGCCCCGTCTGTCATGTTATCTGAGCGACAGCGTTGAGTTTCGCTGATCGCTCTCATTTGTCGCCTCCCGTGTGTCGAGCCCTTTACTGTGTTCAGTTTTATTCCTGAGAATGAGAATAGACATGGAGCAAAATCCCACTGATAATGAAAGTAAACCACAGAACAGAGAGATTTATTAGATTAAAATGTATGTTTAAGAATATGGCTCAATAGAAGCAAATATGCAAACATATTTGTGAATAGATTAGAATAGTTTTAAACTATAGTGAATAGAGAGTAAAGTACACAGTCTAAGATTAGAATTAGTGATAATAATACAGTGAAATAAGTGAAGTGTAAACAATTAGCATTAGAATAAAAGTATAGAGTAATAAAAGTGAAATTAGCTTCTAATTTGAGACTCAGTTTGTTTTTGTCTGTGTTTTGACTGAATCTGCTGAGTTCTTGTGTGTCCAATAGTTTTTGTTTGTTTTTATTTTTGATTTGTTTTGTTTTTTGTTTGTTTATTTTTTCCCAGGATAGAGGATAAAATCCACTTATATTGATATTGATGATTATGAGTTTAATGCATAAATTTTCTTTGTTTTTTTTTAAATAATTTTTTAAAAGTTTTTTTTTGATTTTTTTTTTCTTTTTCCACTTTATTGATTGATCAAATTGAGTGATGTTATGGCAAGCTGCTAGTATTCATTTAACCCTGCCGGAAGGAGCCGGGCTCCCCCCGACACCTACAGACAATGACGCAAATCACTGTCTCACCCTTGTCCCTTTTTGCATCTTGCATATGTATCGGTCTGTATGTCTGCATCTCTACATCCTGCATGTCTGTTTGCATCTCTATGGCACGGCCTGATTGTCTCTCCACGGGCATGGCGCCTCGTCTCCGGAGTCCCGTCTCAAACTGTGAACCCCCTCCCATCTGTTGTGGGCGTGACTGTCTCTCATGTGTTGTCTAAAAACAGGAACTTGTGTCTGCCCGGCAGAGCCTATGTACGCTGCTGTGGTGTATGTGAGTTCTCCGCACGTGTGTATAATAAACTTACGCTTCTGATTAAGACAAATATCTTTGAGCTTTCTCCTTCATTGGGGTATGTAATTCTACAACAGTGATCACATGTGATTATGTGATCAAAGGGGAGGGTGTTAGTATTAGATAGCAATATGGCCTACGTGCAGGACTGTACAAGGACTCTACAAGGACTCCATGTTATGACTATGATTTGACTGTCTCTTTGTGACACGTACGTCTTTCGATGTGTGACGTGACAATGACTATATAAACTGTGTACTGCCTTTATTCTGTCTGGGAGAAGGAAACAAAGTAAACCATAGGAACTTGAGAGAAACTTGAATAAACTTCCAGAGTTTGGCGCACCACGATCCGTCTCTGTCTGCTTCATTCCTGACATACCTATGATGAAAATTACAGACCTCTGTCATTATTTTAAGTGGGAGAACTTGCACAATCAGTGGCTGACTAAATACCTTTTTTCCCCACTGTATATGCATTCTCTTTATGTCTAATGCCAATCAAATGTCCATCAAGACTTAAAAAGATAAGGTTTGAGAAGTAGTTGTTTTGATTTCCAGATGGTTTGTTGTATGTTTTTGCAGATTTATGTTGTTTATTTATTTATTTATTTATTTGGAGGATAAGCCCCTAGAGATGAAACATCTCGTTTTCGAGGGGGTCCTCAAAAAGGTAACAGAGGTGACAGATACAATGCAATACAATAAAGTAAACAATAAAGACAAAGGACAAAAAGCAACCATAAACAATACTCACACACACACAAACACACACACACACACACACACACACACCATGACTGTTGTAAATATATTTGATGCAGACAATAAATAGTGAAAATACTAAACTTATTAATATTAAAGGCAGTAAAAATAGGATTATGTAACCCAAAATCAGAAACAATGACACTGATTTTGGAGATTTCGCACAAGAGCATTTTTAAACTGAGCCAGAGAACTGAGAGAGCGAACAGATGAGGGCAAACTGTTCCAATCAGACGCTGCTTTACATTTAAATGCATGTTTCCCGACTTCTTTTTTCAATCTTGGGACTAAAAAAAAGGAATGATTTGCATGAGGCAAACTGTAGGAGGGTTGAAAAGGAATCAAATTTAGTTTTAAATAGTCAGGAAAACTGAGATTAATGCATTTAAAAATAAATAATAGCCAATGTAGCTGACGTCTGGAGGACAGAGAGAGCCAGGAAAGCTGCTCGTACAGAAGGCAGTGGTGCGTTCTAAAGGGACAACGGAGAATGAACCTGCACAGGCTGTGGTAGGTGACGTTCAGGGGCTGGAGGACAGAGGCAGTGGTGCGTTCTAAAGGGACGGAGAATGAACCTGCACAGGCTGTGGTAGGAGACGTTCAGGGGCTGGAGGACAGAGGCAGTAGTGCGTTCTAAAGGGACGGAGAATGAACCTGCACAGGCTGTGGCAGGTGACGTTCAGGGGCTGGAGGACAGAGGCAGTAGTGTTTTGATAAATTATATCACTGTAATCAAGAATAGGTAAAATAAGTTGACAAATGATCCTCTTCCTAATGGATAAACTAAAACAGTTCAATGAATGGTAAAGTACTTTTAGTCTATATGAAATTTTGTTTGTGATTGTTTGTATATGAATGTTGAATGAATGAAATAGAGAAGGATCAAGCACAAACCAAGATATTTAAATTTATCAACGACTGGAACTGGACACATGTCTGAAAAAGTAAGCTGAATTTTGTTAGAGAAAATAGGATGCATTTTTTTCTGGAACAACATGACAACTGTTTTTGATTTGTTCAGTAATAATTTGTTAGATTTTAGCCAGTGTTGAACAGAATTAAAGTCATGT